GCTCTTAGTTTGTGTAATAATCTTATTTTATAACTTTTAAGCATGTAAATCATGTTTTATCCTTTTTTTAAAAAAAAACCAACAACAAGGATTTTAATTTATTATATCACCAATGTTTAAGTGGCATACTCTGGTTTATCTAAACAAAAAAAATTAAATATGCCGACAAATCATAATTTTTTGTTAATCTTTTTTTTTTCTCCTCCATCAATAAAACACATCAAGGAATTTTAATTTTACTCAAAATCCATGTATTATTATATTTCTGTAACTCTATATATTATTTTCCATGTCAAATCTATATAGGTATATTTTTAATAAATGACAGAATTTTACTCGAATTCTATATATTATTTTCCATATCAAGTCTATGTATATATATTTTTAATAAATGGCAGAATTTTACTTCAAATCTATATATACACATCTCGATAAGGTTGTGCGGGCTTTCACTTTTAATTTGGATAGGGATATGATTGTCTTTATTATTTTATGATGATGATGATGATGATATCTTTAGCTGTGCATGGGGCTTCCACGGGATATTTAGCATACTACCTGCACATCACCATATCAAACTTTTTTTAGTGTATTTGATGATGAGAAATAAATTAAAAGTAGAGTTATGAGATTTAAATTCATGTTTTTTATTTGAAAAAAAAAGTGTTTTATTATTACATTATATATCTCATCACACTACTGGAAATTCTGAAATTTTCGACCATTGAAAGTGATCTTAAATCAAGTCGAAAGCCTTGTTCCGACTACTTTTGGTATTCGAAAAAATTCTTGTTGCTATTTCCGACCACTTTTTACTCTCGACTTGATTTAAGATCACTTTCAAGTGGTCGGAAATTCAATAATTTCCAGTAGTGTCACTATATAAAATTTTAACAATGGTGTGTAATATAATTTTTGAATGACGAGCAAAACTCGTAATCAAGAAAAAATCTTAATTGCAACGGACGGAATTTTGTTATAAAGTACCTAAATTTCGACGGAATGCATTCCATTGATAAAACAATCGTTAAAATTTTAGTTCCGTTGCTGCAAATTTTGCAATGGATATTGCAATGAACTATTTGAAACGGTAGTTACAAATGTCGTTGCAATTAATTAATTTGCGATAATAATATCGTAGTTGCAAATGTCGTTGCAATCTTATTGCAATGCCAGTAATCTTGTTGCAAGCAAGTTACATTGCAAATTGATCACTATTTTTTTTAGTAGCATATAAATAAATATATATATTACTAATAAATATTAAAATGGTCACAAACCATTAAAATTAATATTAAAATTAAAATATTCAAAGATTCATATTTAGTCGTCACTAAAAGCAAAATATTCAAATACATATTAAGTTGTCAATAATCAACAAGGAGACCATTGTTCGTCAGATAATGAAGTACTCAATCTCATAGAGGAGAAAGTTGGAAAGAATGAAGTATTCAGTTTCTCATTACAAATTTTCATTGGAAATTCTGTTGCAATTTTGCAACGGGATTCATTCCGTTGCGAATCTCCATTGCAAATGAAGATTTTTCTATGCTCATGTAATATTTTAATTAGCCACTCGGTCACCTCTTCCGTGATCCAATTTTCACATATTTATTTATAAAATAGGAGATCATATAAATTTTTCTTTGCTAGCATAGGGTTATAAATAATATGGAATATTGTATAAAAGCTTGCGAGGTCTAATCCTCGCGTATGCACATGTATTTATAAATACAAGATAGTGACATATGACCCGGGAAGGGTGGCTAAGTGGATGTCTACAAAAACCCTGAAATAATAATGTCAAACTAAACATCTAAACACGACCTAATTAAATCCCACCGCTCCGCTCTAAAACTGCATCAGATCAAATCTAATTAAACCACATCCTGGATCTCCACCTCGGATGACGGCATGGGTTCTGCTGGCTGTGGACCGTTGCGGTAAATGATCTTGAGGATAATCTGGATTAAAGACAATACGGCTCCAACGCCATTGCTGATCTGCATTTATTAATTTGTTAATTAGTACGTACTGCAGAAACCAACCAAATTAAAGGGAGAATGGAAAAGAGTTAAGCTTACGAAGACGAAGATGTCAAATCTAATGCAAGCATAGGCTGCCCAGATGATTCCATTAGCAAAGCCAGAAGCGATGAGCCAACCCGGCAAGTACTCGGCGCTCTTGGTCTTGATCACTGTCCTCTGCGACCAAGAAGGCAGTTGGTTTAATAGAAGCCATCAAATTTTTGATTTGTCTATAATTGAACTGAAAATAAAGATAGATTCATACCATTATGGAAAGAGGCGAGCCATACAAAATGATGCCGAAAACAACAGACAATAATCCCACAATTGTGGTTCTTTTGTTGATGGTGTGCGCGCCCATGAGGGTGCCAGCAACTATCCCAGCAAGAGCAATAAGCTCTATTAGGAGCAAACCCGCCATTTTCCCCTGGAAACACAACAACAATACGCATATATAATGAGATCAGATACTATACACCCTTAGCTTACAAGACCCTCTCATCTTGCCTATAAAAAGGCAAAACAAAACGGAAAATTAAGATGATGAGATGCGGGTGTTACATACCCGGGTTTTGCCATTATTGTAGTAGAAAAACACGGCCAAATAGGAGAGCTCCAAGACTATACCCAGACTGTTAATGGTCATCACAAGAACGCTGTGTGGATGGACGAATGGCATGGCATAGAACACCCACATGAAGCAGTTCATCAACGCTGCATGGTACGGCCATGGATGGAATCCCTCAACCGATTTGTTCTTGATGATCCTATAAACAGTTGGTCTGCAAACACACAACCCCAAGATTATATACATATATATATATACATATATATATATATATATATATATATATATATATATATATATATATATTGGCATGAGATCATCAGATCTCATCCATCCGGCAAAATGATGGTTTGGTTAATTTGTTACTGTTTTTAATTTAGAGTTCAACTGTGCTGGCCTGCATATACATTAGGTACGTACTATACGCAACCAACTAGCAAATTAAAACAGTGGAAAATATTGTAATTCATGCTACACATACTCACACTACTATACTTGTGCAAATTAATAACGTGCAAACTAACACAGTAAATTAACCTAACAAATGTGATATTCTATATGCATTCATCATCTATAGAACAAGGAGAGAAAGAGATTACGCTGGTGAGATGAACAGAGCGCCGGAGGTGACGTTTCCTGTGCGCACAGATGAAACAAGAGAGTTTCAGAAGCCAAGTAAATTAAAACTTGTCAGCAAAAGCTAATGTATAGTATATATTAGATAGATACAGAAATAGAAGTGAAGATCTTAAAATTCTGTAATGAAATCCTTTGATCATCAGAACCCCAAAAGATTACAGACATGCAATTAATGTTGTTAATGCAGGCGATCATATCAGGATTCCTGGCAACTGATTAACACTACATCTATCCCCAGGCCAGTCAAAATTTTCAACACTGTCACTCCTTTTCAGTCAAAATGCTTGAGATCAAACATGGAGAAACTAGCTCAACCAAAATACTATCACAATAACAGTGAATAATCGAATTGAATTGGACAACGAAGTCAAATCGGCTGGCTACTAAACTCATCTCAGTGATTTCGAACTAAAAAAGAAGCTATATCACATCAAATCGATAGAGGTATATAGGAAGATCGAAGAGAGTACCAATAATGCCGAGGATAGTGCGGATGAGAAGCAATTTTTGATCCATTGCAGGTGGGAGGAGAGAGAATAATTAAGCCGGAAATTAATCAGAGAATTGCCGGAAATCGATATGATCGATGGATAGGAGTTTCCAGGTGTGATGATGAGAGCGGATAATAGTGGAGATGAGATGGCATGTATATACTACTCTCACCGCCGATTAACTAGATCAGAGTTCGTTTCCGTATGACTGTCTGCTAAACTAATTTCAGTAGGAGACTCATTCTCTCTGATCTTCTGCTTCAACGCGCCTCCACTCTCCAGGTAGTTGTAAGGGCTCCGAAATTTGCCCTCCATTCGCTAAATATTTACGCCCAATTACCACTCCTGGTTTCTTGCAACCACCATTTACCAGTGGCATTTTAGACCAACGTATACTATATGGATATCTTGCATGCATGCAAACACACGCAATTCTCTAACCTAAAGACGGCTCGGCTGCCTTGCCAACTGGACCAAATCAAGCCACTACAAGATAAGATATATTCTCCTATTATGTAATTTATAATTTTTAAGCATGTAAATCATGTTTTATCCTCTATTTTCTTTAAAAAAAAAAAAAAACCAACAATAAGGATTTTAATTATATCATCAATGCTTAAGTGGCATACTCTAGTTTATCTATAAAATATATATATATATATATATATATATATATATATATATATATATATGCCTACAAATCATAATTTTTTGTTATTTTTTTCCTTCCATCAATAAAACACATCAAGGAGTTATAATTTTACTCGAAATCTATGTATTATTGTATTTCTAATGAAGATGCCTTTTGGTTTTGTGTATTGACCGTTTTTTTTTTTTTTTAATTCAGTTTATAATTCTCTTTTATAATACTTGTTATTTTATTGAGGTGCAGAGAAGAGGATTGGAATAATGCCTTTAATTTTACTCAGAATTTGACCTTCGTGAGTTCGTGTGTTGTCAAAACTCGATGTAAGATTGTACTTCATTTTTTGTAATGTTTACTACTAGAAAACTTTAAATAGTAAGATATCTGAGCTTTGTGAATTTGTGACAAGATACTAGAGTAAACTTTAAATAGTAATGTTCAATGAATTTCTTCCTTCCATACTGGAGTAAATTTTCACTCTCATATATCTGTCTCCATCAGTTGTAATTTCTAACTAAAGTTTAATGAATCTTTGTGTTGGCAAACAGGGGTTGTACCAGAAACATTATGCACTGCGGTAGAGATAAGATTCTACTTCAGTAACACCTTCACAACATTAGGGAGTTCCGGTTACCTAAACCCCGGCAGAAATTGTAATTTGACTTCTTGGGAACCTGGTTGTGAGCCACGATGCGCTTCTCCAGAAGTGTACCAAAACTGGTAAGAGTTGCATACTCTCTTCTTTCTGTACTTATTTTTCTTGGTTCAATATTGCATCTGGCTCCTATTTGTAAAGTAAACAGGAACTTGATAAAGGGTTCTGGAGTCTGGACTTTTTTTTTTTTTAATTTTAATTTTAATTCAAATGATATTCTATCGTTTTGCTTCGATCACTCATCCACTTTCTATTTCAGAATTGCAAAAGGATGGAAGGTAGGTTGAATCTGAGAAGAAAAGCGCTGTGTATTTGGTGTTGACGTGCCCGAACCGGTAAGTTTCACTTTCAACGACACACCTCAAGATCTCCAGTTTACATTCTATTATAAGAAACTCGCTGACATTATTGAAAACGATCATTTTATATATGTTCGTAATCTTGCAGCAAATTCCCAAATGGTGGATCTGGTTTTACTATCTAATGCCTACATCTTGGTCCCTAAACGGCATGCTTTCTTCGCAATATGGCGATATAGAGAAGGATATCGAGATTTTTGGAGAAAAGAAAACATAGGCAACCTTTTTTGAGGGATTATTTTGGATATCACCATGATCAATTACCCATTGTGGCTGTAGTGCTGATTCTGTTCCCTCTTCGTTTTGCCTGTTTATTCACACTTTGCCCTTAGAAGTTGAACTTTCAAAGGAGGTGATAGAAATTGAAATATCTGGCTGGTTTATGTTTGTGCAGAAAAACATGTTAAATATTCACTTTTACTATAATGTTTTGAGAGAATATTGTATTTTCAATGGGTAGATATGAGGATATCATACATATTTGTAGATTTCTTATGACTCATATCTGTGTTTGGAGTAAATACTCCCTCTCTCTACTGGACACACTGATTAATTCAGAAAAACAAAGTCTGTAATTTTTGTTTCCTTTCCTTTTCTTTGTCTATTTGGAGTAATACTCCCCCTCTCTACTGGACACACTGATTAGTTCAGAAAAACAAAGTCTCTAATTTTTGTTTCCTTTCCTTTTCTTTCTCTAATTGCTAGGAGTTGTTTTTGTTGTTTTTAAGGTTTGAGGTTGAGATGTTTGTATGTTGTAGGTTTGGGGATGTTGAGATCCAAGGAGAAAGTGGGTACTGATCCATTTCAGGCTTTCATGGCTCTGTAAGCTTTTCTTCTGTCACTTATTTCCAGTTTTTTTTCACATTAATTATTAGCATTAAAATTGGAGTATTGCATCTCACCTTAGTGACCAACTTCCCGAGTCTAGGGAAGCTGCCTGTGCTCTTTTATTGAAAATGCAGTGTCTATGAGAAGATAACAACAACAGTGACTGAAGATCAAGAAACAATTTCTTGAGAGCAATTTTGCCAATCAAAGCTCTCACCCTTGAACGCTCAAGCTGTCCTTGGAGTGACCAATGTTCATAGGGAGGAGGGTCTTATGCAGGGATCCTAACAAATTACAAGCCGTAGGAGGTTTCTTTTGGCTTTCCCTGTGTTTTGGGTTCATTTTCTTATACCTGTACATACGATGGAAGTTTCAGATGATGAGAGGCGATTGCAACAGCATTTAGTTGATTCAATAGATCCTATAGTAAACTAGCATATTCGGTCACATTTATTGCTATTTGTTGTTGGATTAATATTGCTGCAATTTTATATCTTTATTGTTCTGTCTTTTATAATATTAATGCATGATAAGCTGGACGTTTTATTATTATTAATCTTGAGAAGTTGACTTGATAGAAAGAAAAACACACAGCTATTTATTACGATTATAATCAATTTTTGTTTCATTATTGAAATGATATTCTATCGTTTTGCTTCGATCACTCATCCACTTCCTATTTTACAATTGAAAAAGGATGGAAGGTAGGTTGAAGCTAAGAAGAAAAGTGCTATGTATTTTGTGTTGACGTGCCCGGAACCGGTAAGTTTCACTTTCAATGCCACACTAATGAAGATAAAAAGTGAAAATTGACTTCCCTAATTTAGCTATTTCGAATTTCTTTATCTTTTATTAAAATATATAATCACCAAGACTATTTCAATATCTTTTATTAATTTCGCATTTTTCTCTCTCTCTCTCTCATTATTATATTATATGAATACTTTAACTAATTAAGAAATACTAATTTATAAATACACATTGGGCATTGGTCTAATCGCACAACGCGCGTGTCAAAACTAGTATTTTTAATAAATGGCAGAATTTTACTCCAACTCTATATGCTATTTTCCATATCAAATCTATGTATATTTTTAATAAATGACAGAATTTTACTCCAACTCTCCGGGGCGGACCCAGTGTGGGGGCAGCTGCCCCCACGTACTCCCCCACCCCTTTATATATATATATCTGTATCTATATGTATACATATATAACATGAAATATTATATAAAATCTATATTTATATTGAAAATATTAATAGTTTGAATAGTTTAGTTGGTTGAACTCCAAATTTTATGTTATAAAAGGCTTATGTCATGGGTTCAAATCTCATTAGTAATACTTTTAATTATCTTCTCTCTTTCATTTCTTCACAAGATAAATTAAATATTTTTATTCTACTTTTTATGAATCATTTAACAAATTAAATGCTCTTTTAGTCTAATTTTTATAAATCATTTAATTAATGTAGTATACAAGTTTATAATATACTTTATTATATTCAAATTAATTTTTATAAAGCGATCTAACTAAAAGAAATTAAAATTTAAAAGTATTTATGAATATATTGTTATTCAAATTATTTTATCTAATTGATTATGTTTCATATTTTCTCATAAATATATTGTAACTTATAATGTATTTTGTATTTTAACTTTATTATGGTTGTTTAATATGTTGTCATTGACATTTCTAACGTTATTTAATATTCGCCCACACTAAGATGATTTTCTGGATCCGCCACTGCCAACTCTATATATTATTTTCAATATCAAATCTATGTATATATATTTTTAATAAATGGCAGAATTTTAGTTGAACTCTATATATACACATCTCGATAAGGTCAACAAAATAATATTTCATGAGCAGTCCCACTTCGCAAAAAGATAGACAAAAATGAATTGAAGCAGCAGTGAATTGAAGAGGTTGTGCTTTCACTTTTAATTTGGATAGGGATATGATTGTCTTTATTATTTTATGATGATATCTTTAGCTGTGCATGGGGCTTCCATATGATATTTAGCATACTACCTGCACATCACCATATCAAACTTTTTTTTAGTGTATTTGATGATGAGAAATAAATTAAAAGTATAGTTATGAGATTTAAATTCATGTTTTTTTATTTGAAAAAAAAAGTGTTTTATTATTACATTATATATCTCATCACTATATAAAATTTTAACAATGGTGTGTAATATAATGTTGTCATCACAAAAGTTTTTAAATGACGAGCAAAACTCGTAATCACTACAAGAAAAGGTCTTAGTTGCAACAGACGGAATTTCATTGCAAAGTACGCAAATTTCGTTGCAAATCACGTTTTGCAACGAAATACATTTCGTTGATAAAACACTCGTTGAAATTTCATTGCAACGAAATTTTAGTTCCGTTGCAAATTTTGCAATGGATATTGCAATGAACTATTTGAAACGGATTGAGTTCCGTTTGTAAATTCCATTGCAATGTTTGCAACAAGTTTGTATTGCCTCCTCGATCTGTTGCAGATATTGCAATGTTCGCAACGAGTTTCCCCTCACTTATTCCGTTGCAAATATAGCAACAAAATTTAATCCGTTACAATTCTTACAACAAATAATTTAATAAAATGCCGTTGCAATTATAATAGGATAATTGCAAATGTCATTGCAATTTAGTTTGCAATGGTAGTTGCAAATGTTGTTGCAATTTTGTTTGCAATGGTAATATATATGGTAGTTATAAATGTCGTTGCAATTAATTAATTTGCAATGATAATATCGTAGTTGCAAATGTCGTTGCAATCTTATTGCAATGCCAATAATCTTGTTGCAAGTTACATTGCAAATTGATCACTATTTTATTATTTTAGTAGCATATAAATAAATATATTACTAATAAATATTAAAAATGTCACAAACCATTAAAATTGATATTCAAATTAAAATATTCAAAGATTCAAATGCATATTTAGTCCCTAAAGCAAAATATTCAAATACACATTACGTAGTCAACAATCAAAAGGAGACCATCCACTGCAACGGATTAAAATTTGTTGCTATATTTGCATGTCTCTCATTAATCAAAGCATGGAACTGATTCGGCAAACTTTGAATAGTATCATATGTTTGTTGTTTCTTTTGTTGCTGGTCTTCTACAATCTGTTGCAACTTTTGATTCCCAACCAAATTATTAGTATCATAATTCTGAGTCGAGGAATTGAAAGGCTTGAAGAATAACAACCACCCGCTAGTTAGGCGAAAACAAAATATGTGAGAAATCAAAGAAGAATTGAGAAACCTGCATGGCAATTCATTTTAAGGATTTTGAGTTCCATTGTAACTACTATTGCAAAACCTCCAATTTTTGAAAATTAATAAAATGTTGCAACGGAATTGACAATCGTTGCAATAACGGTTGCAAAAATTGCAATGCATGTTGGTTTTCATTGCAAAAATTTACACTTCCACCACAATTGCAACGGGAATTGCAATTTCTTTTACAAATTTGCAATGGAATTGCATTTCATTGCAAATTCTGTTGCAATTTTGCAACGGAATTCATTCCGTTGCGAATCTCCATTGGAAATGAGGATTTTTCTTGTAGTGAATCACCACTCAAAGTTATGCACGCTCATATATAATAGTTTGAATCTTTGAAGTATAAGAATCATATTTTAGTCACTCAGTCACTCTTCCATGATCTAGTTTTCACATATTTAATTATAAAATAGGAGATCATATAAGTTTTTCTTTGCCAATGTAGTGTTATAAATAATATGGAATATTAATGCTAATATATAACAGCTTGCAAGGTCTAATCCTCGCGTATGCCCATGTATTTCTAAATACAGTCCCGAGAAGGGTGGCTAAGTGGGTATCAAACACTGAAATAATAATATAATGTCAAACTAAACATCGTCTAAACACGACCTAATTAAATCCCGCCGCTCCGCTCCGCTCTAAAACTGCATCAGATCAAATATAATTAAACCACATCCTGGATCTCCACCTCGGATGACGGCTTGGCTTCTGCTGGTTTTGGACCGTTGCGGTAAATGATCTTGAGAATAATCTGGATTAAAGACAATACGGCTCCAACGCCATTGCTGATCTGCATTTATTAATTTGTTAATTAGTACGTACTGCAGAAACCAACCAAATTAAAGGGAGAATAGAAAAGAGTTAAAAGCTTACGAAGACGAAGATGTCGAATCTAATGCAAGCATAAGCTGCCCAGATGATTCCATTAGCAAAGCCAGAAGCGATGAGCCAACCCGGCAAGTACTCGGCGCTCTTGGTCTTGATCACGGTCCTCTGCGACCAAGAAGGCAGTTGGTTTAATAGAAGCCATCAGCTTTTTGATTCGTCTATAATTGAACTGAAAATAAAGATAGATTCATACCATTATAGAAAGAGGCGAGCCATACAAAATGATGCCGAAAACAACAGACAATGATCCCACAATTGTGGTTCTTTTGTTGATAGTGTGCGCGCCCATGAGGGTGCCAGCAACTATCCCAGCAAGAGCAATAAGTTGTATAACAAACAAACCTGCCATCTTCCCCTGGAAACACAACAGCAGTACGCATATATATAAAATAAAATCAGATACTATACACCCTTAGCTACAACACCCTCTGATCTTGCCTATAAAAACGCAAAACAAAACGGGAATTGAAGTTA